ATATGCTGTACTTGATAACACAGAGATCTGTACTTTAATTTTACAACACAAAAACTCTTACTTTCATTCATTACTTGCATGCTGATTGTGATGTTCAGTTATGTATGCTTGACAGTCACATGGCCACATCCCATTTACATCCAAATGCCCCATTTAAACATCATCACCCTGCAGTCAAACCTTTCAGACATTATCCTCCAATCACATTCTAATAAGCATCCATCCCCATTAGACAATGCTCTGCAAAACTCTGACAACATGGAAATGCTAACCCTTGAAATTGGTCAAAACACTATAAAACATCATAATACAAGACATGAAATAAAATCATCAAATAACTGCCCTGTATGTGCTCCGATCAGCCTAAATCTTTACACACGTGCTCCGACTCTCAGCCAGAGCGCGTTTCCACCCCGGCCAACACGCACGCCGCCGCGGCTCGCCACTAAACAGGAAGTGGCTCGTAACTAGGCTGCACGTCCCGACCGGAGCACGTTTGCGCCACACCCCGACGTGCGCGATGTCCGACAAGCGTAGGGCGAGGACCCGTCCATCGCCGCTTGCGGCTTTAATTTATTTATTTTTTACCTCTAATTGTATTTTTTACTTTTTCTTTCTTTTACTTTGGTCTCCAATTGTATTTTCAACTTAAGCTTTTTTTATTTTTATTATCAGTATTTTATTCTCTAATTGTATGTAGCGACATCCAAGTCCTCATGTCGCTGACAGACTGAGCCTGGGTCTGTTTGTCTGACACGCGATTAAATATTAATTCATGGAGATACGTTTAAATAAGTTTAGCCTTTTATTAAAGGAAAACAGGATCATAAGTCATACCAAAAAACTCCAAAGCAAAGTAATCAAAATCAAATAGCAATCAAAATAGCATTATAAAGTATAAGCGGTCAACAAAAAATACTGTGAGTCAGCTCACCCCCTCTCCCTCTTCTCCTCACAAAAGCACAGGTGAAGTGGTGAACAGGTGAGCTTAAATCCCTGCCCATCTACGGGAGCCGCTATCTCCCGATCAGATGTGTCCATCAAAAAAGATCACAATCAAAATAACAATAATCAATCTGCTCTTTATCCTTGTAACAAAAATACAGATTTACTCATGGCTCCTACATTGTACTTTCAACTTAAGTTGTTTTGCTGTTTTATACTCCAATAGTAGCTTAAATTTGGATATTTTGTACAACTTGTTCTAACTGTACTTTCACGTTGGAGTTGCTTGTCTGTAAGCTAAGTTTTCTCACAGGGCATATGTTGACTTTCGGTGAATCATCACCTGCTGTTACATGTGCGCTGTGAGAAAATCTGTGAATCTAGTTAGTCCTGGTCTTTTGCTGCCTCCATCTCATGTGACCTACCGAAAGATGGAGGCAGGATGCTTTTGCTTTAATGCAAAAGACTCTTCCCACTGTTGAGAAGAACCTGGCAACAGCAGACTTTTTTGGTTGAGCAACGGCGTGGAGATGCTTTTTAAAGATCCTCACAACAGTGTCATCAAAAGCCGGATCTTCTGACGTCAGTATTGTGGTCGCCAGCTGTGGGCCAAACTCCTTACGAAGGTCTTTCTGACATGACCTCCGCCTTTGGCTCCTCCTAGTGGAGCATTTTTGGTTTTGCTTTTGGATTTTGCAGCATGCCAGAGTGGAGGTGACCCAGGTGCTCTGAATTGGCAATCAGCCGATTGCTCCAGCTGCGGTGAGGCGTGGCTTGCCAGCCACTCATCAAACCTGCATTCTCCATATAAGACGCCAGCAAGCCACAAGTCGACGCCAGATCGTAGTAAAACCTATGTTAGTTTTGTGCTTGCTTGTATCCTCAGCTTGTAGTTTTGATTCTGCTTCTAACACTACTCTCCTGTGCTCCAGTTTTCGCCACGCTCGCCATCTTTAGAAATCCACTATTCATTCCCTCCTCTTCATAGTTTGGATTCTACTGGCTCCAGCTCTCCATATCCACTGTGTCCCTCCGCTGAAATCATCTGGTCCACCTCCGTCTCCTCCGGCTCCCCAACCCTAGCTTCTAGTATTGTTGTTTTCAGATCTCTCGTCTACTCTATTAGTAGTACTCGTATCTGTTTTGTATTCTTTGCGGTAAGTTTCTTGGTATTTGTAATTATAGCTCGTTGTCCTCTAGAGGATGTTTTGATAAATTCTTTAGCGTACGTATTTGTTCGTAGTAGTGTAGATTGCTGCTTTGTTTTGTTACTGGTTTCACAATTAGTATTTGCATTTGTGAATAAATCTTCGCATTGATTTTCCAACTTTTTGGTGGTCGAGTCATCTGTCTGCGCTTGAGCCTTTGTATGCAAAATCGTGTCCCTCTTCTTGTTAACTCTGTCAGCAGGGATGTTGATGTCATCCAGCTGCAGCTTCGACATACGCTCTAGGACGGCCTGGTAGTCCCTTAAGGTGACCAGGGTTCTGGATTTATAAGTGGATGTACTGAACACCTTCAAAACCAGAGCGCTGATGGCAATCTTCTGTTCTTGGGACTTCTCAGGCTAAAAATTTGATGTTTGGCAGAGGCTACATGGACAAGGTCTCCAAAATGCTCTTGAAGCAGAGCCTTCGCTTTCATGTACCCATGAGCAGGTGGCAGGTGTTGACAGCTCCGGACTAAACTCTGAGACTGGCCTCTGGTGTACTGCTCAAGATAATACGACCAGTCCTTATGGCTGGGTGTTCGGTCTTCAATGTTGTGTTCAAAAGGTCTCATGAAGGTTAGATATTGCAGTGGATTTCCATCAACAACATGCAGGTCTTGTTTGGGTAGCAGGTAAAGTGACTGTTGTTCAACGAGTAAAGATGTAATTTCATTCTGCTTCTCCAGCACCGTCATCAAACGCTGATCAGAATGTGT